GGAGAGAGGAGGTAGTTGCTAGCATCCTAGCTATATCGTTGGCAGTAGCCGGCGTAGTGCGGGAAGCAGGGATATCGTGTCCGAATTCCAGACTATGAAGAGAGAGAGAGAGCCTCTCCGCGCATTTCTTTCGGCACCGTTGCGGGCAACGATAGGGTCACATAGGGTTGGTTGTCTGATCGTACGTGGTGGAGAACCTGGAGGGGTTACGGGGTCATCGTTATTCTCTTCTGGTATGGTTGAGCCCGAAAATACAGAGGCTGCACTTGTACTCTCCGTGAATGCGCTTTCGCCGCTGACGCTCTCCATATCATCTGTATTCTTCGGCCGTCGTCGAAGATCCACGACTCGCTTCTTTCGCTTCCTCGCATGAGCCTTTGAGTGACGACCAGCACCCATGCTGAGCCCGTATCCGCTAAACCCTGTTGAGGGAAGACTCAGTCGACTGTGCGAAGACGATGCCAGACTTGCAGCATCTTGGAGTGAAAGTGACGATGTTGCGACGTGAGAATGGGTTCTGGAGAGCGGGGGACTCATGGGGGAGACCAGGCCGCTGGGACCGTCAGCCTGCTCCATCAAACCTGTCCATGCTCTGAAAACAACTTCTTGGATAGAAGGCGTGAATAAGGATAGCGTCCTCTGGGAATCCGTCAGCGCGGCTAGACGGAGGACGTTCTTGCGGGAGAAGAGGGAATGCATCTCGACGCCGGAATCCAGAGATAGGGATGCGATTTCCGAAGTAGACAGAACGTTCCCGGATGCGTCGACGGGATCCTCGGGGGGATTCAATAAAGGATCCAGGCCTGGTCCTTCAAGCGGTGGATTCGTGACTTGAGCCGAAGTGGTTTCCAGTTCACTATATTCCGTTCCCCATAGGCGCAAAGAAAGCCTATGTATAATCGCAGGCAACTCGTCCATGAAGAGTATTCGTAGCTGGCCCTCGATTTCTTTTTGGAGGTAATCGCGGACAAAAGGGATCGAATCGAAGGTCGACGAGACTTTTAGGGATTCGAGGGGATCGTTCCGAAAGACGACTGTAATGCCCTTTTGCTTCGAGAAGACGAGAATAACGAAACCTGAGAGTTTTATGTCTGAGAGGGTAATTTGAAGTGGGATAGTCAAACCGGTTCTTCAGCAGAAATATGAACCCGTCAGCAAATTTCACGGCTCGAATTTTACGATTAATTTTCTCTTATAATTATTTTGCCCATATCACCAGTGAAGCAAAAGCATAGACCAGAAGGGAATAGCAAAGCCGGGACTTACGCAGCAGCAAGTGGTTGTGGAGAGGCAAAGGGGTGCCGAGTAAGGAGATATGTATTCAAGGGGTTCGCCTGCACACAGGTCTTGAGGGTCAAGAACGCATCTCCAGCATAGGACATCTTGAAAATACCCCGAAACCTGTCCTCTGCCAGATCACCTATTTCCAAGATTTCTAGCTCTGGGGGGTTGGAGCCCAGGTTCAGTTCGGTCACCACGATATCGTCGACGATAATCGGGGGTTTGGGCGATTTGTTCAGCGCAACAGTCAACAGCTCCTGCGCCCTTGTGTAGAAGCCCGCGTCTGCCATGAGCGGCGACCAGTTGAAGTTGAACGCCATGCCGGCGACACACGCGACATGAGGACGGTCCGATATGCAGTATGAGAGAGATGATAGATGGAGATCAAACGGGGTCGACGCGCGTTCGGCCAAAGGGGGAGAAAATGCGACGGTTTGGCGCAAAACGAGCAGAAGCGGGCGGGAACGGAAACAATGGCGTCGCGTGCTGGCGAGGTGGTGATGATGCAGATGCAGGAGGGTGATAAATAAGAAAAAATAAGAAAAGCAAACAGGGAGACCAGATGGTGAAAAGGAAGAGGAAGAGGAAGAGGCTGAGGAAGAGGAAGACTTCAAGGATCGAAGGAAAAAATTGTTTTATTTACCAGCGCCTTGCACGTGACAATCCTTGGTGCACAGCTTTTGGTTGTATGTTGGACACTCTTCACCATTATCAAACTTGATAAGCTATTCTCTATCCTATTACCGGTGGCTTTGCAGTGGAGATTGCTAGCTCAACGGAGACCTTCAAATAATCCGCTGCTGGCCAACGCACATACCAACATTATGGTCATAAGGCTTTGTCGCCATGCAACCTTTAATATGTCGATGCACTCTGTCAACTATCACGCTCATTGCGTCGTGGAAGATCCTGCTCTTGTGACACTACTCAAGCGCTGGCTGACGGCAGCTTATACTGGGCGGTGTTTGTGGTATTTGATGACGGAGTGGAATGGGTATTTCGATCCCCTCAGCGTGATGAGATCACTCGGACTCAATAGAAATTGGTTCACAATTAGACACTTAAGTCTTTTAAATACAACAATGCATTTAAGTATAAGAACCAAGAACTAGATACTCAGACCTTGAATATAGAGAAATCAATTTGTAATAACTATAATGAAACTAAGCACTGTTCTAATTAAAGATTTGGTATCAAGGCACCTTCTCATCTGAAGTACGCTCCACAGAGGTACTCAACATCATTTTTGAATGCTTCAAAATAATCCTCAAAACTGAACTGCTAACTGGAATTGGCATTCTGCATTCGAAAAACAAATAAAAGAGACAGTCCATCCAACCATCGATCCTTCAGTTCAACATTTCGTGAATCTGGTCCAGGGTCAGCAAAGCATTTGAAAAGTAAACAAGGATGAGTGTTCCGTTGGGTTTCAAACCTCGAAAAAGAAAAACAATGAAAAGACAGTCCATCCGGTCATCATTCCTCCAGTATAACAGATAACGGATCCGTCCCAGGCTCGGCGAAGCATCCAAAGTACTCCCGCTGTTCCGGAGTGTTTTTTTCCCAAAGTTGTATCAGTTTTCTTCCCCCAATGAAGATAAAGTCGCTAACAGCCTGGTCACTAAGCTCCTAACGAAGCTCTAACATATGGTAAAACCCGAACTGAAATTTCTCAGCGCACTGGTCGGTAATAGTTTGCCCATCCTGGGCCATCCTGCGACATAAAAATTTCGCATCAGAGACATCACTCCGCCGCTTCTCCTATCCATTCTCATCGTCCTGTCGAAGATAAAAGCATTTAATTTTCATCGCTAACGCGTAGTTGTGGTTCCCCACTATGCTGTGGCTGGCGGTCGCAGTGTATAGGTGGTAGGTTGGGTGGCCATGCCCACTGTGGGCCGGGCCACACCACCACGCCCATATATATATATATCACTATGAACGCAACCCATTTAACAAATGGTTACGTTGGCTTTTTGCTATGGATAATCTAGCGGTTATAGTGCTATCTTATCACATAGTCAAGGTTCGGAACGCGAATTCGGCCCATTGAGAGTAGGTTAGGCCCCAGATTTTCAACGTTACGGTTTCGACGGCTGTCGTAAGAATGTCAAGAGTTACAGTTTCGCCATCACCAAAATGAAGTTCTCCTCCGATGTTGGAAAACCCTTGCTAGCCTGCCAGCAAACTGACCAGTGAGGAGATGTTTTCTCTGGTGGAAACAAGAATGTCGATGTCATTGGTTGTTCGATTGCTCCCGAGCAGCTGCATCGCAGCCCCACCAATAAGGACGGAACGGTCGCCGAGACACTTCTCAACTGCCTGAATGCAGGCTCGGATATTTCCGGTTTTGTTCGACATCACTCTATATCAACGTTCAATTGGGTGAAAACTCCGGATTCGCACGTAACACGCTGCAAGCTAGCTCCTGTTTGTCCACCAGTAGACTCTTGTAGTTATTATGCCACGAATACCTCCTGCGAAATTGTAGCAGGCGCGGGGAGGATAGGGGGAAGGCGCGAGGTACTTTTTAGTCGGGGCATGTTAAAGCTAAATAGAATCGACAAGTCGCAGTATGAATGTGAGGAGGGTGAGGAAGGAGAAAGAAACGAGAGTACGAGTAAACTTGCGCAGAGTTATAAAGAGGAAAGGGAGAACGGAGGCATGGAAATTTTGAATTGCCTCACTAGTTAGTTCCACCTCACCACGAAATGCATGGTCAAAGCCAGAACCGAGAACATTTTTCAGCATTCGCTGCCGGTGCCACAAGGTTGAAAGGGGTTCTGAGCAGGAATGCCGAAAAATACCTTGCCAGCAGCTCAATTTTCTCACAAACCAAACATATGGTATACGTTTACCATGTCAGATGTCATCCTGAATGCATTCAGGGTCATCCATTTAACTAATGGTAGACGGTTCAATGCCCTTCGGATGTTCTATGTCGTGACCCTCTTGAGGCATGCTATCTGCACGATCTCGGTACTTCTGTTTTATAGCCGCAAGTTTCAGGTCCCTCCTTGGAATCAGAGCTCTTACTTCTTCAGGAGTTACGATCCCCGCGCGGATCTGCTGTCTCTGAAAACAGACCTTCTGCCGCACATGGCCCATTATGGCCCTGACGAATAGCTCGACAAAAAATTGATCCTCATCAGGAAGGTATGCGATTATATCTTTGACAAAACTCAGCAGGAATACATAGTGACACTCAAAGTAATCGGTAATGGTAGTATTTAAGCCTTTAGCCGAATAGCGGTCGGCGACGATATCAATTATAGCTAGCATATAGATAGTCAGATTGAATGTCACAACGTTTGGAAGAACTCGAGTTCACCTCGAAAATAGTCAAGCCTGCGCGGGAATCTGCAAGGGGGATTTGTAAAGAGAAATGTGTCTCTACTCCAGGCATCGCGGCTCAAATCGAGATGCCAGAACTTTGCAGGCACAATAATGATGCTCGTCATCCAATCACCAGCACCATTAGGTAAAAATCGATTACCTGGTCAGCCTGTTGTGCTCTCGTTGGTTGCAGTTCTGTCAAAGGTTTGGGGGACTTCTTGGTAGCCCCCGGAAGCGAGAGCTGAACGGGCAGTTTCCAGTTGCTCATCTGCAATTGCGAATTGGAAATCCATCGGCGACGACAATGAGATCACCGACGATACAGTGTCTCACACCTGCGTTGTCCAGGATTTCTCCAGGGGCCCAGTCGGATTTTGCCAAAGAAGGCTTGTTGTAACCATCCATCATGGGTGTATACTGTTAGAGGCGTAGAACTAGATAGCGGGGTGGAGCACCAGCTATATAATCCATCATATTGTTCCTAATTCTTAAGGAGGAGAAGTTGGCCACAGGTGTGAAGGAGGTGTTAGGTGGCTGTTCTATAAAGTGTCATCGCCACCAGATGCTGGGAGCAATGTTGTGCTAAACCTAATCGGGCGGGAGCTAAACCATGGAATGCACTTCCCCATCATCAGCATTTAGTCAAAGCCCTGTATTTACATTTATTTACATTTTCCTTTACTTCACCCTCCCCAGTCACACATCTAACGACCAATTCTGCCATGCGACACGATATGTCGCTTTTCTCCCCTTCAGCCACCCCTGTATCTTCAACCCAGAAGGTGCCCCGGAATGCTCATACATACAAGAAGAGGTCAGCAACTACCGCGGGCACTGTTATTGGATCAAAAAAGGTTTATGGCAAACGAAAAACAAATGCGCCCCGTGCGGTGCTCGAGAGGGACCATCAGAATGCTTCGAATGCAGCTCCTGCTGTAGAAGGTGAAAGGGTTAAGGAGGCTGAGATTGGGGATATGATCACGGCAATGGAAAACGGGTTATCGGCGCTTCAGCTCGATGTTGAACGGGGGAAAGCTCATGTTGATAGGGATGATGAGGATGTCAATACTGCAGAAGAGCTACATGCGCTACGGGAAAGGGACATTCAACAGGGCGGACAGCCTTTGATCGAGGTCGGGATACCCACTTATAAAGATGCCCGGCGAGATGACGCTGCACATGTTTGCGATACAAGCGGGTCCAAATCCCCGGACGCCGTTAAATTCAAACGAAAACCACGAAGGTCCTCCGGTTGGATCGAAGACCTAAAACTCAATAACTACGTGCGCCCCATCCTCAAAGAGGCAACATCCCCGATATCCTCGCGCGGAATCCAAAGGTTCGCAAGCTGGGCTCGACGGACGGGGGATATGTTCACCGTCGAAAAGATCGCAGAGGGCTCCTACGGTGAAGTCTACCAACTACGGCTGAGCAGGGATATTTCCAAATGCAATCTCTCCAAGTCACGACTAGCACGGTTAAAAATGTACAGGGATGGCGTATTCAAAATTATTCCCCTCCGCGCGCAGCGTGGGGTGGGCTCGAAGAAATTCACCACCGTCCAGGAGATCGTGTCTGAGGTGCAGATGTTGAAACTGCTTGATCCCATCCCGGGCTTTGCGAGGTTTCGGGAGGTGCATGTGGTCCAGGGCAGGTTTCCAGAGACTTACCAGCAGGCGTGGATGCGGTATAGCCAAACGAATGGGCATGAGTGTTTTAATCCAGATCCCAGTAAGCCAAAGTCGTATCCAGATACGCAATTGTGGGCGGTTTTGGAGATGGATAATGCTGGCTGCGAGTTGGAGAAGTTTCCGTGGTCATCGACTTTTCAGGTTTACGATATCTTTTGGGGAGTGGCGTTGGCGCTTGCGAGAGCGGAGCAATTTGCGGCGTTTGAGGTATGATTTTGAAGTGAAATGATTCCCGTATCTATCCCCTTTCACAGGGCGGAGTCGATATGGAAGGACATGCAGAAATGTTTTCTATGGTTACTGATGGCTGTTACAGCACCGCGACCTGCACCTTGGAAATATCTGTATCAAACCTAGGAGAAAAGGTGGCAACATTTTGACGGAGCTAGGGAAGTCGAGACCAGAAGGAATGGAAGGTGGAGCCACTGGGTTTGGTTTGAGTGGACTTGAAACTACCATAATCGATTATTCACTTTCGAGAGCCGAATTACAACCAACAGATACTGCGGACACAGATATGCAGGCGGAAGCAGAGGCGGCGACCGAGAGCAAAAAAGAACCAGTAGCGATTGCGTGGTCGGATCTTGACAAGAGGCAGATCTTTGGCGCTATTGGGCGAGACGAGGATGAGAAGCTGCTCAGGGATACTTATCGATAGTGAGTTACTTTCTTTCCCTTTTCTCCTCTTCTTTCCTTCCCCAATCATCCAAATCAGTTACATGAAATATAGCTCTCATTTTGGGCGAAGTCGTGTCGCTCTTTTCTATCCTAATCAGTTATTCACAAGCCCTAAAATTATTAGTATGCGATCCGAAATATATCATCAAGACAATCTCCTCAGCTCTACACAACCCCCTTCTAGACCCTTGCAATGGAAGGATTATAACCCCAGAACGAACCTCATCTGGCTTTCATTTCTGCTACGGATGTTATTGAAGAAAATGAAGCCAGCCTGTGCATTCCGGGTGGCTGAGCAACGACAGCCACAACAACGGCTACCACTTACGCCCCGTCCGGCAAATCACAAACTACAAAACAATACCACATACTATAATGAGAATGGTGACACAGTTGGTGGAGCAGGTTCTCCACCACCCAAGTCATCAAGGAAAGCGATTCGTCAAGTTAAAACGGGTGTGGGGATTAATGGTGACGGTGATGATGGAAGAAAACAATTGGACCCTGCCGCTATGAGCTGTCAGCAACGGCCGCGGCATCAGCAGATGTTGGGAGAGGAATTAGCAATTCGCCTTCAGACAACGGCGGATATGCTAAGCGTCGAGAGCGGAATTGAGGATTTGCATTGCGCGGGGGATCTTGTGGCTTTTGCTATTGGGGCTGGGTGGTTAATTGAGGGGGATTTTTTGTGTTAGACTGCACTTTTGGAGAAATTTTTTGGTCTTTCTCAATTGTGATGCATATGGAACTGGGAATATAGAGTTAGAGATAGATGGGGCGTAAATTTTGTATTAGTTACACTATTATTCACTTTCTGGGACGTTCATATGAATGTACAGCACGAGGGCATATTGTGAACTGCCGTTCCGGGTAGTCTGTTATTAATTCTCTTCATTGAGGTTATTTTATTTCCTGTCATCTTCATGGCGTTCTAGGACACTTGAGAAATGTGTTCATCTGTCAGTGAGTCTATCAACTCTCCTCCTATGACTGACATGATTGAGCTGCCTGCATATTGTATGCATTAGAGTGATCAATTTACATACTACGTAAAAGGGGAAGCGGGGTTTAGCCTAGTTATAATCTTGGAGCAGGGAATCGGTAATTTGCAAGTCTGGCAACGACGGGACCCGGCTGGTTGGGTGCTGGAACCTGATCTCCGGCAAATGGCGGGGCAGGCCGATGCCGAATCGTCCCCAGCTGCTTTGGTTGCCGCTTGGGGAACTCTCCAGCAATGACGATAACGATAACGATAAGGATAAGGATATAGATAACGAGAGAACGTCATTAGCTGGCACTAAGTTGACTTGTCTGAGGTGTCGATGCGACTGTCGTCCAAGTACGTACAGAGCTAACTCCCGCGGCAGCTTGTAATACGATATACTAGGCGCTATTGATGGTTTTCGCCAACAGACCCTTGCGTAATGGGGGGTGTGTCCCATCTCACTGTATATGCTGCGTAAGCAAGCCTAAATATCATCGCCGTCCTCCATATTCGTAAGCTACTTCTTGAACACCGACTGCCCCATTATACATAGACCATCCCAGCTGGTCAAAAGACCAGAAGTCGATCTTGCTTGTCGTTGAAGACGAATCGATAGGCCAACACACAAAACCCCGCACAACTGGGGATGGAGCAAACATTGTGGCTTTGTTCATCATCAGCAAACCCGTAGACCGTGACCGGAACGAGTTGGCGGATGCAGGGGTTATCGATGTAGCTTATTCCATTGTGCATGTGAAAGGCTCAGGAAGAGCCGATGGATCATTCTTTAGCCTCGGAGCTAGCGAAATGGCTGAGGTTGGTTGCGCTCTTATGCAAAGAGTATGGAGTAGTGTCGTTGATGTATTCATCATGGTCGTGTGAGTGACTCCTCGTGCAATTCTCTGATAGGCCATAGATAACTTAGACTCAGTGCATGTCCTGCGTACTACACCGCGGAGTGACAACCACAGAAGAAGATTCCAATAACAGCGAGCTGCAATGATGTGATGAGCTCAGTGATTCGACAACCTAACATGTTTAGGGCAATGTTTCTGTAAAATGTGGCTTTATCAATTTCCCCAACCTTCCCCGCTTCCAAAGATGTTAACAATGTGGTTTGCCCTTTGGTTCGCGGCTCCATGCGCCTGACTGACCCCGAGAGCCCGTACACCTCATATCCCCCCATCCCCCCAACAGACAAAATCCGTGGTTCAAGTAGTTCTAGGACTGCGTGCATTGCTTGTGTGCTTTCTTCTGGATATCTTTGCCTGCTGCAAGTCAGTTATTCTGTCCCGGCGTTCATGAGCCCCATCTGTCTTCATGCTCGATCCTCCCACCGCAAAACATGAGGAGCCGCAAGAGGGTACCATCGGCGAAACAGCTGCGACAAAGAAACCAAAACGCTTCCAATGTATGCGCTGTGAGACGCGATTTGCACGACTCGAACATCTCCAGCGCCATGAGAGAATCCGTGAGCACAAGCAACCGTTTCCGATATAAAATCAATCTGATTGATATATTGAAACTTGTGTTAACTTTGTGCACATCATACGTTATATTTAGATACCCAAGAAAAGCCTTTCTGCTGTCAATTATGCGACCATCGGTTTACTCGAAGGTGGGTATAGGTTTTTCCCAGAATCGCTCTTTTTTTTGGCTGGAAATCATAATTGCGACAGGCCCGCTGACCGAATCAAAACAGTGATCTATTGATCCGACATGAACGCCTTTCACACAATAAAGACGGGTCGAAAAAAAAGCCACGAACCCCTTCCAAGCCGCGTAAACCAACATCCAAGAAATCAGCTCCTTCAGCTATCTCATCCGTTACCGCTTCTCCAATGACTCTACCACCATTTGCAATCGACGATAGGCAGAGGAAAATATTTCTGGGTGCCGACGTGCTCTCAGATGCCCCTGATACCAACAAGTACCCGTTGGCGACACTCCTACTCATTCTCTCTAATTGGCCGCTGAACATGTAGCTTCGCAGATGCCCGAGTAGCAGTTATACCGCTCACATGCCCATCTTGTCCCAGAGAGATATGGACACAGCAAAAGTGGTG